AAGTGGGGACAGCAGTGGGTGGCCAGGTGGAGGCCAGTGGAGCTGGAGCGGCTTGGACTGTCGAAAGTCATTTCTAGCTGTGGCAGCAGTGGCTTAGCACACTGACTCGTTGCGACTGGTTGTCATGTAATATTCTACTGCTGCTGCTGCTATCCTATGTCATCATCATTGGAGAGGCTGAGCACGTTTTACTGTTAAATATTTGAACAAATATTAAATGTAGTCGAAAGTCCAAGACGTGACACATTTAACGGGACAAAATCGAATTTCACAAATGACCAAAACTCTGACTTTAAGCGCATAATTTGTGCGTCAATGAACAGCGAGAAGAGCGCCACAGTAATAACACGACAACACGAACGCAATTTAAATGATATTTCAGCTTATTTTTATCAACAACATTTCATACGAAATAAATGATGCCAAAGGCACGCAGAGAGAGTGAGAGGGGGACGCAGGCCTAATGCTTGCCTCTGTCTGACTCGTGCTCATAAACGTAAAACGCTTAGCAGTTCAGACAAAACAAAAAACAATTGAAACAGTCCAGGAGTTGTTAGCTAAAAGGTACCCTGTATATGGGTATTGGAGAAGCTAACATAAAAATTTAACAGTGCAGAGTAAACATGGTATTGGTTTACATGCATATATCGATATTTATATATAGATAACGATATTGATCGATTTCAGTTTTTGGGCAAGTTATAGAATAAGTTAAAATAAGCTAGATTGAATAATTTGGAACTTTCCCTCTAATGAAGGCTTTTAACAGATATCGATATTTATCGATTCCTACATACAAAAACTAAAATAAATTTAAGGCCTGTATTGAATTAATAAGAAATAACTTTGAATTGTGATACACAAGCATCTACATGTTTTCTTGCAGTTAATTAAATCCTTGGCTCTTATGTAAAATTTTACACTAGTATTCATAGCTATTTTAGATCTAGATTATCTGCCAGATTTGGATGGATGGATTTCTATCTCCCATAAGATATACGCCTTTTGGCTCATTTTAAATTTGTACAGAGTATATAAGCACAAGTATACAGAGGCACTCACACACACACACACACACACGCAAACAGGGACAAGTAGAATCGTTTGCACGCGGGGCCATGGGCAAGGGGAAGGAAAGGGGTGGCAAAAAGCGGGCACGGCTAACAATGCCGCCAAATGAAACAACAAAAAACATGGCCATAACAATAAAAGCACAACAATAAACAGTAACAACGAGCCCAACGTGGGCAAGGATGTGCGCACTGGCAAGGACGTGGGCTCAGGAACAGGAGCCATAGTTACGGAGACGTAGAAAGAGACAGCGGCAGAGACAGAGACAGAGACAGAGGCAGAGATCCTCATGGCCGTGCGCCTGCCAAGTGTACCAGATTAACGAAATGTTTGTTAAATGGCCCACGCTTCTTTTTTTGTTGCTGTTGTTGTCGTTGTCGTTGGTGGGCAGGCGGTTAAGTGTGGCAAGTGGGCGTGGCGCATAATTTGACAGAAAATGGCGCCACATTCCAAAAACGCAACATAGACAAGACCCGCGCTAATAAGCCAGTGCCTAGCGCTTCCGTTTAGCCTAGGTCTTTAAAGAGCCCCAGCTCTGTCCTAGGCAAAGTCTTAAGACGAACCATTGGAGCAGCTTAGGCAGACATTTTAATTAATTAAAAATATAATAATAGCCAAAAATTATGCACAAAGAAGTCATGTATATATGTATGTATATATTTGCCATTTTCATTTTAATTTGCATTTTCATTTGGCTAATGCTTGTAAAAGCAGCTTATTGGATATACTATAAGTAAAATGTATTTCCTCGGAATAACAATGCTGGCCATTTGCCTAGAGACATGAATATTTAAGTGCGGTGTATATCAAAATCTTAAAGCTAAAAAATTTATAATATTTTCAATTAAAATGTTTGCTGTTTTATGTTTCTTGGAAATGAAAATTACTTATATTAAACTATAAATGTGAAAATAATATATATATATATTTTTTTACATATTTTAAATCTGGAAATCTCATCTTGGTTTTTAATGCTCTTTTTTTGCAATGCATTCTAGACAATTTGAAATAAATACAAACTATCTTAATATGTATATAATTTGTTCTTGGCCAAATTAATTTTATTATTAAATCGTATTAAAGAATATTAAAAATGTCTTAATTTATGTAAACTGTAGTACGAAATCTTAAAGCAATCCTGTTTTTAATTTTATTCTACAATTTTCCTCTGCCACTCTATTAACGTATCCTCAGCTGTGGTTACAATCCACATCTTTTTTCATATTTGCGCCTCACTACACATGAATGATTTCTTTGTGGAAAGTGCAAAACTCAAAGCCCAGCTCAATACGTTGTGGCAAATACGCACAATAACAATACAAACATTGTTACATACACGTATATAAATGTATAATACGCTTTCATATGTATTTGTGTGTGTGTGTAATTTCAATTGATTTGCCGTCAATTTCATTTCTGCCCTGTGCTAAAAGGCAAAAATGGCCCGTGGCAAAAAAAAAAGGAAGACATACACACACACATACACAGGGCAGCAGCTACATGACGCTAACATTGATGAATTATTGTTCCGCTGAAGTCCTCTCCATACACATACACACAGACAATACGTACAAATGAACACACGCACAGACACACATTACGCATACGCAGCGTGGGCCACGTCAAGTTGCGGCCGCCTGTCAGCAGCCGCTCCCGTTCTCTATGCCTTTGCCATCGAATTTGGCCCGCTGTCTAACCGCAATCATTCATCATCCAGTAATAACAACAACAACAACAACAACAAAGACAACAACATGTTGCTTTGCTGCGGTTAGCCTGGCTAACCATTTTCCGCTCATTTTGCCTACCCACATCGCCTTGACATCGATATGGTGTTGATATACACTCTCAATGCGCCGACATCGTTAATGTTAATGTTAATGTTATTCTATCTATTGCCTCGGCTGCCTATCTCGGTTTGCTGTCTTACCTTCCTTCGCAATTATAAGTTTACGTATCCTAAATCCCCAAGGATCTCGGGTAATCTTTCAGCTCTCTGTCTGTGGCACACCTACGTATATATGTACATATATGTATTTCTATTTATATACGTCTGCTTTTAAAGACATTGTTCAATGGCAGCTTCAACTTTTTCAAAATGCACAAAAGTAGCAATGAAACGGGTTTGGATTTGGTGCAAATTCTTTGATAACTTTTATAATCTGTGTGCAAACCAAGCCACATCGAGTGTAAGGAGTTTTCATTGTACTTACGTAGTATAAATACTTACGGATGAGGAGTTTAAAATATCGATAGACTGATAATATTGAGAGTGTCAATAAATGTCCGAAGGGAATTTAAATTTAAATTTGAAAACTAAAAACAATCGATATCCATAAATCGATAGGCGACTAAGAAATGCAAATCACGAATTTTTTGATGAAATTTGCAGATTTTCTCAAAGTATACCGCTACAAGCAGATAATTTGCATTGTTAAAGCCATAAACATGTGAGATCAATTACTTTTGCAACTTTTCAAAGTTCACAAACAATTTATTTAATGTGACTGCCAAATGGTTGACTTTACAAATTGTTGCCATTGAGCTTAAGCTAAACAGACGTTAAAAAGCAGCCAAACAGTCGGAAAAATGAATGAGAATAAAAATGCTGAAGCTGAAAAGTCATTAAAAATCACTTGAAAGTGCTTAGACTGCAATTTCACTTCACGTTTGCGTCTCATTATGCTGCACGGCGCAAAGGGAACACGAATTATGGCCAATGCATAATGGCCATTAAAAACTTTTTTTGTCTGCCCAAGCAATCTAAAAAATTGGAAAGAAACAAAATGGAAACAAGCTGCAAAAAGCGTGGTGCACAAAATCAAAAAGAATGAAAGAAAATGAGAAAGAGAAAAAGAAAAAAACTCACCCACACGCATACACAAAAAGGAACGAAGAATACTGAGCCAAGGTAAAGGAGCGGCACATTAGACCAAAACTTTTACAATAATACATTTGGAAGCGACTGATGGCCAGTGCGTCCTTGGACAGGATAAATATAGAAGAAGAGAGATGTATGCGCCACACGCACACACACACAAAGTGGAATAACTACATAAAACAAAAACCAAAAAAATGAAGGAAGAGAAACGAAAAAACGACAACTCGGATAGAAAATTCAGCAGAGCGCAGCTCCGCAACTGCGCGGCTGTCAATACAAAAACGAACAATTAGATGGGCAGCAAGTGGACAGGGTATATGTATGTATGTTTGGTGGCGTCGGAGCACAGGGTGTACGGGGTGAGCCTGCCTGCCTGCCAATGACAATGAGCCAGCGGGCAGCGCAGGACAAACAACAGGCAACAGGCGATTCGTCCTTCTGAATTATTGAGCGTACAACTTGTTGAAAATCCAAGGATGTAATGGAGCCACACACACACACACACACACACTCCTCAATATATAAATGTAACTTTAATTTACTCATATCAACAGAAGATTGAAATATTTACCAAGTTATTTCCCAAAGGGAATTTCTGCATAGCGCGTGAAAAGTGCTGAGAAGAAATGTGAAATGAAAGCGCTAAAAAAACAATTAAAAACTTTGCGAGAGCTTGTGAAGAATGCGCCAAGAAATGTGGATGGGCTTACAGCATTTTAATTGCAGTGGGAGTGGAATGAAGCCATCAGTCGTGACTAGCTTGAAAATGTTGCAAAGCATCCTCACAATTTATTTATTGAAGCGCCTGGAGTATTTTCGAGGGCCTGGGACCATTTTAAATATAAGCAATTAGGCAGTTTAAAACAATTTGGCCAATTTCAATAAATATTTTCCAACATTATATTTTTGAATTTAAACGCTGCTCGTTTATAATCGATAAATGCTTATCATGTTCGCCTATCTGGCAACTCTTCAAACTTAAATAAGAACTTTAACCGCCATTTGAAATGTTTTTAACATTCTGGAGTTTTATCTCTTTGCATTCCAGACAATGTTTCAATAGAGATGGCCAAACTTTCACGACGCGCTCCGTCGTCTGCAGCAACGCCATCAACAGCAACAGCAACAGCATCAACAACAACAACAACAACAACAACTAGCACGGCAACTCCTCCAGCAGCACGAGCAACTGCTAGTCATGCTCGAGGCTCCGCTCAAGCAGAACCACTGCAACGCATCACCCGTGCATCTAACCCAAAGAGCCCCCAAGTGGCCACCCTCGTTGATCCCGATGCCAATGGCATTCTGCATGAGCCGTCGTCTGCATCACCGGCACCGCCGGCGTACCCCAATCACAACAGCAACACTGCCGCCGCTGCCACTTCTCCCGCACCTGTATATGCACACGCACCCAATTCCGTCACGGCCACGCCCTATATGCCACTGTTGCCGCCCGGCGAGCTCAATCTGACCGAAGCGGAAACTGCAGCCGAACGTGCACGCATCCGTGCAGAATTCTTTGCGACGTATGACGTGATGACAGGTGTACGCATCGCCGCCACGCTGGGCGGCTTCTTTGGCCTGATGGTGTTCCTCATCGTGTGGAAAAGCCGCAGCAGCAGCAACGAAACACTCAAGGTGCTCAAGGATCCCAAAATGGCGGCGGTGGCCGCTGTTTGCATGCAGGAGGAGGAGGAGCGTGAATTGCAGGAGGCCATTGTAGCGACGGGCATGTCCATCTATCCGGATGAGTACGATGCACTGGTCTATCGACGTCAGCGCATGCTCTCCCTGGGCAATGTGAGCGCTCCGCCGCTACTCAATCGCGGCTATCGCTGCGCATCTGTAGGCAAGTCAAGAGAACAAGGAAACGCTTTTCCCTATCTTGAGCTAATCTCCTAACTTTTGCTCTTGCAGGTGGCGTTGGCGTGCCTGGGCCGGTGGGATATAATTATTTATTGGAGCCGCCACGCCGTTTTTCCTACTCGGCCATGTCCGCTGGAGGTGGAGGTGCTCCCCATGGCTCGCACGGGAGACGAAAAAGCGGTTCCGAGTCCTCGCGCATCTTCAGCAATTATCCCATGGGCGGCAGCTTTGGCACTGACGATTACTTTATAGAAACGGAGGACGAACTGGAAAACGATGAGTATATGCAGCGTGGTGCGCAGGACGAACCGGAGCAGCTGCACCAGCGCACAGATTCCACACGCAGCAAACAGGGGTTTCTGTCCGTGCCGATGGCGGTGAGTGGGAGACGCCCTAGACTTTCATCTCTGAACCTTAACTCTGTTTCTCCACAGGGCCACGACTCGCGTCGCAGTAGCGCGATGACCTGCTGCAGCACGGATAGCTCCTACCTGGAACGTCGCACTTCCGCCTATACGCTGGGCATGAGCAATCTGCCACCGACGCTGCAGCGTAAGTTGTCGACGGCATCGCGCACATCGAGCATTGAGAACTGGGACTATTATTATCCGGACATACAGGTGATACAGCCGACGCCAAAGGCCTCGCCGTGTCCATCCGAGCGTAGCGTACATGAGCCCACGGTGAAGAGCTCGACAGTTGGCCTAGGCGCGCCCAATATTAAGCGCAAGCACAGCATCGTTTCGTATGATCCGGAGAGCGCACAGGCCGGACGCAAGCAGCAGATACACTCAATCAGCGCGGACACCGTGGATGTGTATCCCTACAATCAAAGCGCACTCACGGAAGCCATCGATTTGGGACTGCCTCTGGCCAAGCCACTGCAATCAGCACCGCCCACCAGCCATCACCAGCAGGCCTTTCATTTCTGCGACTCGCCGTCGGAGGAGCTGCGTCTGGGCGTACGTCGCAAACTGACGCTGGTCGAGCTGCAGCGGAATGTGGAGAGCAACAACAACAGCTATCCCTACACAGCGAATGCAGCTGTGCCGGCCCCGGCAACGGCCACCTCCAGCAGCATCAGCGTGGACAGCACACCCGTTAGCTTGGACCGGTTGAATGGCACCGCCAGCGGCAGCGCCAGCCTGGGCACCATTTCGGCCAAGGTGCTGCAAAACGCGCAGGTGACCGATGGCAAGAGGGCGCCGCTTGCTTCATTAAGTTCCTTTAAGATCTCCTCGCTGGAATGCCCAGACTCGGAGCTGCGCTCATTGGACGAGGACTCCGTGTTCGGGCTGGAGGAGAGCGCCGCCGACACAGACGACGACATGCAGCAGCTGAGCAGCGACAGTGAGGAGCAGAATCTGGCACTGGCCGCTGGGCAGACGGCCCAACCGCTCAATCCCCTTCCACAGCCGGCCGTGGTGCTGCCCATCAAGCGATTAAGTCTGAGCGGTATGCCCGCGATGGGTGGCGCACGGCCAAGGCGTCCACTTTTACAGCGTCATCGCACCATTGGCGCTTCCTATAGCGATCGTGGTGCTCTGGGTGTGCACGTGCAGCCTGTGCCGCCGCCGCTTGAAACGCATTTCGGGCCTGTGGTCTGCAGTCCGCCGCAGCGACGGGCGCAGCTGCTGCAGCAGCACAGCGATCCGCAGACGACAACGACAACAACAACGACAACCACCACAACAACCGAGGAGGACACATGCTCCACGCTCAACACCGAGCTGGGCATGCTGGAAGTTGGGGCTGCAGCGGGCACGAGTCCCTCTAGCGGAGCTGGTGGTGGTGAATCGGCGACCCAAACGCAGTACAGCAGTCTCAATACAGTCATCAGTGTGGGTCACTCCAGTCCAAGTCCACAGATGGACAATAATTACGTGTGTTCCACAAATGCTGCCGCTGGCCAGGCTCAGGCGCAAGCGCAGGCAGCGGGAGCAGCAACAGTTCCACAGCATCTAGCACAACTGCCATCCAACAGTAGACTGGGCCACGATCCGTGCGCCTCTTCCATATCGGACTCAGTGATAGCCACCAGGCCGCAAACCATATGCATGCCCGCCTCCTTGAAGGAGCTCATCCTGCGCGGCGGAGGCGCCAGCAAAAGTGCCCACAATTTGAATCAGCACAGCAGCGAGACGACAGCGACGCCAGCTGTTATGCTAGAGCTGCCACTCATCAGGCTGCCGAACGACGAGGACGAGGATGACGACGACGATGACAATGATGTCGAGGACTTGGAGCACAATGATGGGCTGAGTGTGGAGGAGCGGGACCCCAGCCTGCCCGGCACAACGAGAAAATGGTCAAAGGAGACGCTGTTCTAGCCCAGTTTGTGGCCGCTGCTGCAATGCATGCAGTTCCCAACAAGAGCTTAACAACTGACTTTTAGGGTAGTCAGCCCGCTAGCTAGCAGGGCTGCCACCCCTTCAATTTGCTAGCCAAGCGGACTACGTAACGTATTTTGTTTGCATAGAAAAAAGAAAAAAGAGAGCTATAGCAAAATGAAATTCAAAATTAGAGAAAATTAAAGAATAAAAATAAAAAATTAAGAATTAAAAGCAAAAGAGCAACAACGTATTCGTACTTAGAGACTGTTGTCTATTATTGTTAATAGAACTCTAAAAGTTAAGTAGTGATACTCGGATTTATTTTTCACACTATCTATAACAAGATCCATCTATATATAGCGAACGTTTATACATATACACGTATATATATACTATTTCTATATAGTACTCGTAGTTTGCCAGCAGCCAGTATTCCTCACTTTATTTCTAAAATGGAAACCAAAATCATTATTCTACTAGTGTCTTAAACAGCAGCCAGCAAAAATACAATTACAAAGGAATCATAATAATATTAATAAATACTTGAAGTATTGTAAATTAGAATTTTATATAGATCGTGCACAGAGAAGAACTTTGCAAACTTTAAAAACAAACTGATGTACACTGACAGAAACAAGCCTAAACAATATATATATATATTCATATATATAGAATAAATATAGATGAGAACTTAAAGACCTCGGTAAGCGTTAGTCGAACTATAGCTGTTGCCTACTTTTCAAATGTGTTTTGTTTGTATCTACGACGCTGACTCTCCTAGCATTTCCCCAAACTTTTTCTGGTGACTAATTCGAAAACAAATTGTTGAAACAAAACTTAATATTATCAAAAAGAAAAACAAAAATTAGTTGTTGTCAAAAGCGAATATAAGCAAAAAGAAAATATAGTGTTACTTAAACATACAAAATATGTTTAACTAGTATGAACAATTTCCTAACTCATCCCACCTACGCATCTCTATTTTTCTATGAAAATGCATTTGCTCCACAAGTGAGAACAAGTTATAGCAAAATAATTTGTATTTTTCAAAGCTAACGGAAAAATACAAAGTTGAAATCAAAATACAGAAATAATTATAAACAATATATATACATATACATATATGTATACATACATGTGTAGTAATGAGATATATACTAGAGCTGCATTTGGGTGGAGGTATTCAACGAAAAAAACCTATTTAGAGACTTTCTCACATGCCTGAGCCTAATTTGTACCTATATCCTATTGCATAAGTGTGTAAATCAAGCCCTATCTAAAGCAGATATTTTTGAATACTAATAAGTATTTTGTACGAACTCAAACAGGCGCCTAGGAAATGGAAATATATCAAAAAAGTAAATCAACCATATATATGTATATAAATATATATATATATTGACTTACATATACATATTTAATTGTTGGTTATATGCTGAAGTACGGAATAAATTAACAAAAAAAAAAAAAAACAAGTCAATGAAAATTCAAGAAACGATCGTAGCGTTAAATTTGTTTCAAATAAGCAAATTAAAATATATATTAATACTTAGCTAAAAGAAAATGTAAGGAAAATTAATAAGCATAACTATGATGAATAAGTAAAAGAAAATAATAATAATAATATATAACTAAAGAGTAGCAGAACCAATTGTTAAATTAAGCTTATTAAAACATAAGATCCAAAAAATATAAAAACAAAAACCGAGCTGTTGTATTAAATGAACAATAATAAATGGGTAAATCCAAAAAATGTATTGGAAAATGGTTCAGCAAATTTATAAAAAAACAAAAAATAAGAAAACTCTAGAAAATACAATTTACAATTTACAAATTTTATTTGTAGTTTTCTATATCTCTGAAACAGCTTTCTTTGCTTTTATACTTTTGTACTAATACAAATTTCTTATAAGTATTCCAAACTTCTGATTTCCATGAATCGTGTACCTTTAGCTACGTTTCAATTACAATTGGTAAAAAACAAAAATAAATAATAAAAGGTGACTTAAGGCATGACAAAAAGCAATCGAAAAATTATACTATTAAATACAGTTATGAAGCCAAAGAGCTATTTAAACAAAACTTAGTTAAATGTTATAAATATAAAACAAAAGAAAACAGAAAATTGATGTAAATGTTAGCGATATTATTGAGAAATGTGACAAAAACAAAAAACTAAAAAAAAAGCGAAAAAAAGAAATAAACCAAAAGAAAAATATACACAAAAAGTTGCCAAAGACAAACTTGTTTCATTTCGTAGCTGTACAGAGTAGACTTATTTATTTATTATCATTAATAAATCCAAAGCTTAGTATCTATATTTGGTGGAGTAATCTTTGGGTGACACCACCAGACCACGTCCTTTGCGTGCACCACGATACACCGTCTCCACAATGTCAATCATTTCCTGTTTATCCTCCAGCGGCCAATTGATCTTATTGTTATTACCAGTGCCCAAATCAATCATAATGTGTTTATTGCGAAAGAAGAACATGACTGTGCAGGGATCGTACAACTCGTACATTTTATTGAAGTCGGGCACCTCTGTTATATCCACCAGATAGATGACGGCAAAGTTTTTCACCTTCTCGGCGATGCTGTACATTACCTCGTCCATTTTCATGCATGCCGGGTCCCAATCGTGTCCAAAACGTATCACCTAAATAGTTGCAAGGTGTTAATCGATCCAATTCGAGACTTCGCTGGGCAAGAGCGGCGAAAGTAGCTTTACTTACAACAACTCGATCTTCCTCTGAGAGTATGGCCTGGTCCACTTGCCAGCCATTGTGTAAATGCGGCAGCATATACGACATTTTGGCGAATTGTTATAATTTATATTATTTGCAAAGAAAACTAAACGTAAACAAATCACAAGCCAATGTAGACAAATAAGTGTGGCCATGCGGTGCTAATTATTAATCGAAATTGCTATCGATACCTTTTATTGCCTGGAATATTTTTTGTGCTGCCAACTTAGCTGCGCGCCAAAAGCTGAAAATTCAAATGCGAGGAAAACGAGAAATTTACAATAAATAGGTGTTTTATTAGCCGTAACTATTTGTAGCGTCCTTATCAGTTCAAATATTTTTGCCTAAAATTATCTATCTGCTCCAGCACTCTAACCGTCATCTCGTTAATGTACTCATCTCGACTCTGCTCTGAGTAATCGGGCAAACTACGCCGCGAGACGTAGTGATTTGGCAAGTTGACCTTGTGGCGGCCGATAGACTTGATGATCAGCCACAAAATGTAGCAACTGAACCACACTGTGAAGTACAGTGGAATGTACCAAAGTTTGCGACCAATATAGAAATAACTGTATTTCTTGACACGCGGCTCTGGCGGCGGTGGTGGAGGTGGTGGTGGTTCAGTTGGTGGTGGTGGTGGTGGCGGCGGAGGTGGCGGTGGTGGTGGTGGCTCCACATGATGATGATGATGCGGATGATGATCGTAAATGACCTCTGGATACGAAACATCCGGGTACGAGGGATAAACTTCTGGGTAGTGATCGTGATGATGATCATGGAAATGAGGAGGAGGAGCATGCTCCACATAGTCGTGACCGTGATCGTGCTCAGGAAAATGATCGGGAATGTGCTCAGGTATATGATCGTGCTCGTGATCGTGCTCGTGATCGTGACCATGATCATGGTCGTGGTCTGCTGGCTTTGGTGCCGCGGATTCCGGATGCGACTCTAGCCAGCCAGGCGGTGGTGTAGCATATTCCATATTGGGATCATATTTATTGTCGTCACTGGGACGAGTACCGTCAGTATGCAAAGGTGGTAGAGCCATATCATCGCCGCCACCGCCTGTATCTCCATCGCTATCGGAGCCACCCGCATCTGCGGGTGCTGCATCCGCGCCCGCATCCTTTCCAGCTTGATTGTTAGCCGGCGGTATCATGTCCTGAGCACTGGCAGGCAGCACGCCAATCACATTATCATTCCCCGGATCGTCGTCTGGCATAGCAGCTGGGGCAGCACTCGCTGTGCTAGCAGCGGGCACCTTGTCGCCATTAGCAGGCTTTGGATAGGAATAGCCGGAGGAGCCCATTACTGGGCCAGGATACACATAGCCTGCATTGCTCAAGTCGTTGCCCGATGCTGGAGGCAAATAGCTGGTAACTGCATCCGATGGCTGCGCCGCCTTCGGATCATCTGAGGGCGAGGGATATTTGTTGTTCAGCGGTGGAAAGGAGTACGTATCCTTGCCGGACACGTACGAGGGCACCACATTCGAGCCAGCTGCCAATTTGCCTGGCTGTTGACTGTGAGCCTTGAATATGTTCGCGGCAACATTCTGGCCAGGCGCATAGCGATCTATTTGGCCTGCAATAATTAAATGAGTCAACATATGTGCTGGATTTCCGCTCATGCAATTAATACCCACCACGTTTATAGCCACCCTTGGGCGCCTTTGGACGACTGCCCATCGAATAGATGTGATTCTGTGAAGGACGCGGCTTGGCACTGAATTGCTGAGGTCGTCCCTTCATCAGCGGCGTTATTAGCTGCCCGAAAGGATATGCAGGACGATAGTCCACGGCACGTCCCGTTGAAGCTGCCTCAATCAAACCCTCCGCCGGTGCCTCGCTGGATTCGGTCGGCAGCTCCGTTGTGCTCACACTGACAGGCGTCACAAACACAGCTGGAGGCTGCTCCACAGACGCTGTCGACTCCACAGACGCAGCCGACTCTTTAGCTGGCTCCGGCTGATGGTTGTAGGGTATGGGCAGGGGCATTCCCGGTGTCGTGGACACCACATTCTCGCTCGAATTGAAGCTGCGAAAAGTGACGTGGTTTATGTTTAATCCTTAGGCACGCAATTGTTAAACTCACGTTTTCGGATATATCAAGTCCGTATTTAGCGCTTTAAATATTCGCGGTCCCTGATCCGTAGCAGCTCCACTGCCACTGACCAGCACCTGAGAATAGGCCTCGATCTGAGCGGGCAACAAGGTGAAGCCGAGCAGCAGGCCAATGACCAAAAGCAGCGCACATTTTGCGCCGACTCCTGGCATTATATATTGTTCGATTTTATGTTAACACAGGACACTTTTATATATTTGATATCGCACACACTGCTCCTTCTTTATATACCGAGCTTCTACGCACTCGTCATGTCCGCTTGAGCTCCGTCAACCGTGTGCAATGCACTGCGCGATATTCTCGAATCCACTGAACTGCGCTGCGCGGATTCGGTTTTATTTAATGTCTCTGAGCGATCTGGTATTTGATTTCGTTTTTTCATGACCCACTTAAGGTGCTACTAGAAGTGCTCTATATGCACGATATATATCCAACGAGATACATATACATA